TAATTTGAGTTTATATATATATATATATATATATATATATATAAATATATATATAAACATATCCTTTTAAATAAAAATAAAGAATTTATAGAATATAAAGTTTCTAAATATAAAGTATGTGCGGCTACACTGGGTTTAAATGAAATCATACGGATATGATATAACCTACAAATTAGCCAAATGAATGGCTCAATCAGCTTTATTATTACAATTTTAGATACGTTTGTTAGTTACTGTATATTTATTTTAATCAGGCACCATTCTGCGGCACCAAAGTAAGTTGTTTTATCCAATGAAATTGCAGCTTGTCTGTTTGGGGCGGGGCCATTTGGATTGAATCGTCATACTGGCGTTCCCCAAAAGATGGAGGTAAGAGTGTCAAATGTAGAAATCTGTAATTTGGCTTATACTGGGAAGTTTGAAGAACTGGAGAAATGCGTGTTGTCTGACAGCTCACAAGCGACGAGAACAGATCAGGTATGTGGGCAGTGTAGGTGCACAAACACAGTTTCAGCATGATGCTATATTGAAGTCTGTGCATTGATTCAGAAGTTTGACGCAGGACTGCTCTGCACTGGGCTTGTTCAGCTGGACATGTGGAAATCGTGCAGTTTCTGTTGGATCTTGGAGCTGAAGTGGATCTCAAAGATGATGTGAGTCAGCATTGTGTCATGCTTCAGGCCAGAAGCCTTACGCTGCATCAGTTAATGTTATTGTATTTCAAAAGAAACTTTCCTCTCGGTGTTATTACTGATCTCTAATTCATTTAAATGTGCAGTTCATACATGACATCAGGGTTTTTGTGGTTACATGTCCCAGATAGTAGCACTATTGACACGTTGTCATTCACTGCATATCCTCTTGGTGGAGTTCTTTACTCTTTTATGTCATTCCAGGAGCGCGGTAAAGTTAGTTTCAGGTTTGATATTCGCTGGATATTCGCCTAGGCTGCGTTAGGGACCGTCTGCAAATTTACCTCTCAGTACAAAACGAAGTCCAATAATTAATACAAATTATGTCATAGTAAATGCTTTGTGGGCAAACTGACAGAAAATATTTAACCAATATGTCGCCATAGACAATATCTCCCTTACTGTATGTACAGTACATAACTATTTTCTTTTAAAAATTACTATAATTCACCAAAAGTTTTTTTTTAATGTTCCAAAGGTTGTAGTACGTTTGTAGTTACAAGACTGACTTACTACAGGTGAAATTTTGCCAATATCTCCCTTACAGTATGTGCAGTACATAATTATTCTTAAAAACAATTACAGTAATTCACCAAAAGGGTTTGTTTTTCATGTTCCAAAGGCTGTAGGGTGTTTGTAGTTAAAAGACTGATTTACTACAGTTTAAATTTTGCTGATTTCTTTCTTACTGTATGTACAGTACATAATTATTCATAAAAACAATTACTGTAATTCACCAAAAGGGTTTTTTCATGTTCCAAAGGTTGTAGTACATTCCTAGTGGCCAGACTGACTTACTACAGGTGAAAGTTAGACAATATCACCCTTACTGTACATACAGTACATACTTATTCTTAGAAAACAATTACTGTAATTCACCAAAAGGGTTTTTTCATGTTCCAAAGGTTGTAGTACATTCCTAGTGGCCAGACTGACTTACTACAGGTGAAAGTTAGACAATATCACCCTTACTGTACATACAGTACATAATTAATCTTCAAAAACCATTACTGTATTTGACCAAAAGTGTTTTTTCATGTTCCAAAGGCTGTAGTACATTTGTAGTTATGAGACTGACTTACTACAGGTGAGATGTTGTCAATATCTTTCTTACTGTACGTACAGTACATAATTATTCATAAAAACAATTACTGTAATTCACCAAAAGGGTTTTTTTCATGTTCCAAAGGCTGTAGTACATTTGTTGTTATGAGACTGACTTACTACAGGTGAAATTTTGCCAATATCTCCCTTACAGTATGTGCAGTACATAATTATTCTTAAAAACAATTACAGTAATTCACCAAAAGGGTTTGTTTTTCATGTTCCAAAGGCTGTAGGGTGTTTGTAGTTAAAAGACTGATTTACTACAGTTTAAATTTTGCTGATTTCTTTCTTACTGTATGTACAGTACATAATTATTCATAAAAACAATTACTGTAATTCACCAAAAGGGTTTTTTCATGTTCCAAAGGCTGTAGGATGTTTGTAGTTAAAAGACTGATTTACTACAGTTGAAATTTTGCTAATTTCTTTCTTACTGTATGTACAGTACATAATTATTCATAAAAACAATTACTGTAATTCACCAAAAGGTTTTTTTTATGTTCCAAAGGTTGTAGTACATTCCTAGTGACCAGACCAACTTACTACACATGAGATTTTGCCAGTACCTCCCTTACTGTACATACGGTACATAATTATTCTTAGAAAACAATTACAGTAATTCACCAAAAGGTTTTTTTATGTTCCAAAGGCTGTAGTACATTTGTACTTACAAGACTGACTTACTACAGGTGAGATTTTGCCAATATCTTTCTTACTGTACGTACAGTACATAATTATTCTTAGAAAACAATTACAGTAATTCACCATAAGGGTTTTTTTATGTTCCAAAGGTTGTAGTATGTTTGTAGTTACAAGGCTTACTTAGTTTAATTTTTTTTTCTAAGATTAATTATGTACTGCATGTACAGTAAGGAAGATATTGGCAACATCTCACCTGTAGTAAGTCAGTCTTGTAAGTACAAATGTACTACAGCCTTTGGAACATGAAAAAAACCTTCTGGTCAATTGCAGTAATGGTTTTTGAAGATTAATTATGTACTGTATGTACAGTAAGGGTGATATTGGCAAACTTTCACCTGTAGTAAGTCAGTCTTGTAACTAGGAATTTACTACAACCTTTGGAAAATAAAAAAACCCTTTTGGGCAATTACAGTAATTGTTAGTAAGTAGTAATGCTAATCAATTTATAACCTTTTATGTAATGTGCTTGTTTTTTTTTTCTGTTAAAATAAACCTACCATAAAAAAATATTTCTTTGTAAGTGGGCAAACTTGCAAAATCAGCTGGGGATCAAATAATTATTTCACCCACTGTATATTGCCAGCTTTTTTTTTTTTTTCATTCAGAAACTCTCAAATGAGGAACTCAGGTGATGGATCATTAGATTTCCATTCTCATGAATTCCACTCCCACGTGTGACCGCCCCTAATTTTTGATGAAAGTGAATTTTTGTTTTCTGGTAGTTCGTTTCATATTTTTTCCTGAAAATTGTAAAACTATTTATATGAATATTTTCCTATTTGTTTTATAATAATATATTGCCAACACTTTTTTTTTTTTTTTTAAATAGGAGTTATATTAAATGATTACATTACATCTTTCTAAAAATCATGAAACTTATTAATATTTTTATATGAATATTTTCTTGTTCATTTTTTTCTATTAATATTTTCCCAGCTCTTTTTTAACCAGAAAATTGTGGAACTTTTTATATTCATTTTTTTATTAATATATTGCCAGCTCTCATAGTTAAAAAGAAATACATTAAATCTTTCTGAAAATTGTGAACATTTATTTTTATATTAATATAAAATTTTTGCAATCATATTGAATAAGAAATATTTTTCAATAAAATAATTATAATGCATTGTTTTTCTATCTTTTTTTTTTCAACAGATAGCCCAGATTTTGCTGGAAAACGGTGCAGATCCTAATGCGACGGACAAACTGGAATCCACACCTCTACACAGAGCATCTGCCAAGGGCAACTACCGACTCATTCAGCTTCTTTTGAAAGAGAGTGCTTCTACCAACATTCAAGACTCAGAGGGAAACACTCCACTGTGAGTAGAACTACTGTGTAGCAGTGTTACTGTTCTTTATTGGCTCATAATTATATATAAATGCTTCCTCAGAGCAGTTCTGCATGAGCTTCTTATTGTTTTTGCCAGTCATCTTGCATGTGACTAGGAGCGAACGGAGGCTGTTCCTTGTGGAACATGGTGCCAGCATCTACATTGAGAACAAGGAAAAGATGACGCCTCTACAAGTGGCTAAAGGTGGCCTGGGATCTGTGTTGAAACGGATCGTAGAGGGTTGATGGACCCAGGGCAGAAATGGAGCAATGCACTTAGAGCTGTTAATCAAGCTGCTGTTCAAGTAGGATGAATACTTGTTTATGAGAGTATTTGAAAGAAACACAGTAAAGGAACTGCTTTGTGGTGGAAGTTTTTATAGATGTTTGCTGAAAAGAAGAATGATGTTGTGGTCAACGTTCACTTTTTGGCAGTTTAAAAGCTCACGACTTGATATGTTGGTCACTTTTCGTGCATTTTATTGAGTACATGAGTTTTAGATTTACAGATAACATTCTGATTATTATTACTTCAGCAATGGATGCTTTATTTCTTTTAAACCTAAAGCTGATTTTGTTATTGGTTAATCACTTAAAATGTAATTTCTAGGTTTGCATCTCTGTGCAAAAATCAAGAATCTGAAAATGTTTTGTGGTTTCCACAAAATTATTAATCAGCACAATTGTTTCTTGAGCAGCAAATCAGCATATTAGAATGATTTCTTAAGGATCATGTGACGCTGAAGACTGGAGTAATGATGCTGAAAATTCAGCTTTGCATCACAAGAATAAAAAATGTTTTACAATATATTCAAATAGAAAACAGTCATTTTAAAATGTAATAATATTTCACAATGTTTCTCTTTGTATTTTTGATCAAATAGCAGTCTTAGTGAGCATAAGGAGCTTTTAAAAAAAAGTGGTGACTAACTTTTGAACTGTAGTGTATATTATACAATTAAATGCTGTACATTTATTCTTTGTCATTCAGCTAGTAGTTTTCACTTTTTCATTCAATATACTCAAGCTTCTGGCCTTTTTCTTTTCAAATAAATATTGGATATGTATTTAAGCAGACTTCCTCTTACAACAACTTATAGTTTTAGGTTAGTAACAAAGGAACTGCTAACTGAACTCATTAAAAAAAAAAAAAAAAAAAAAAACTTATAAA